GAGGGGGCACAAAAATAAGAGGTCGGGGTTCTTGTGCCTCCCCCAGAAAAGCAGAGAAGGGGTAGAAACAGGGAGAGAAGGGGTTGGGGTGCTTGTCCCTCCCCCAGAAAAGCAAGAAGGGGTAGAAACAGGGAGAGAAGGGGTCGGGGTGCTTTCCCCTCCCCCAGAAAAGCAGAGAAGGGGTAGAGACAGGGAGGGTAGGGGTTGGGGTGCTTGCCCATCCCCCAGAAAAGTGGGACTTGCCGCTTAGGGTGAAGGACCAAGGCAGGCGTCCCTGCAGCGTGGTCAGACAACCCTGAAACGTGGGTGAGTAATCAGAGAGGCGTCCCTGCAATGATTAAACACCAAGGGAAGGCTGCCTTCCCCAGTCTGTGACCGGCACCGGCATTTTGGGTCCACGGATAAAACATGTCTCCTTTGTCTCTACCAGAAAATGAAAGGAATTGAAATTAAGAGAAGGGAGAGATTCAAGGGTGGTGCCAAGATTGAAAGGAGAAAGAGGTTAAGAGATAGTGAGAGGTTGAAGAAGAGAGTAAAAAAGGGACCGCTTACCCGATGTAAAATTGGTGAGATATTCCTTGGCCTGTTGGGTCTGAGGACCAGAGGTCATAGGTGGGTCTTTCTCACAGAGCAAAGAGCAGGAGGACAGGGGATTGATCTCTCAAGGGAGGTCCCCTGATCCGAGTTACGGCACCAAAATGTGACGCGCATCCGTGTGAAGAGACCACCAAACACGGTTTGTGTGAGCAACATGGCTGTTTATTTCACCTGGGTGCAGGCGGGCTGAGTCTGAAAAGACAGTCAGCCTCTGGAGATATTTCTACACGAAAGACAGAAAGATCTGAAAATTCTTTTTTGGTTTTCAACTGGCCTTGGAGATCTGCTACAGACACAAGCCGGTCCCATACCACTAAAATCCTTATAATATGAATTTCTAAGCTTCTCTTAAGCAGAAGACTACAAGGATGTTATACAATTACATGACTTCCCTAAAGTAAAGCTGAACACTTAAATGAAAGAGGTAGACCCACACAAGTCCCTGGGATCCTGAGTTGTTAAACTTTTTCAATTCTATTCAAAATCTATTTAGCAGAAGTGGGTTCAGTTTACAATTATTAGGATACATAGCTGGGAGTGGTGGTTAACACCTATAATCCCAGCACTTTGGGAGGCTGAGGCGGGTGGATCACTTGAGGCCAGGAGTTCGAGACCAGCCTGGCCAACATGATGAAACCCTTTCTCTCCAAAAAATAAAAAAAAAAAATAAAATAAAAAAAGGAAAGAAAAAGAAAGAAAGAAAAGAAAAGAAAAGAAAAAAGAAAAGCCAGGCATGGTGGCAGGTGCCTGTAATCCCAGCTACTCAGGAGACTGAGAGACAAGAATTGCTTGAACCCGGGAAGTGGAGGTTGCAGTGACAAGAATTGCTTGAACCCGGGAAGTGCAGGTTGCAGTGAGCCAAGATCGCACCACTTAACTTCAGCCTGGGAGACACTGAGAGTTCATCCCACAAAAAAAAAAAAAGAAAAAAAAAAGATAAATAGTATATTCAGGAAAAGACTTTGATCACTTTCAGACAAAACCAAGGTCTTTCACAATTTATTTTTCTCATAGTAAACTGCCGCCACTCATTTGGGGAAATAGAACGAGAACTATTGAGAAATTCCGTAAGCTACAAGTTTCTCAGCTTTAAATAGAAATAGCAGAACAATTCAAAGACAGCTTCCCATAACAATGATTCAGTATTTTTTAAGTTGCAGTCAATATACCTTAATTTGTTTCACATTGCTTTACAGATATGATCTTAAATGTAATTATTTAGAGACTATTTCATAAAACTCCAAGTTATGGTGTATATTTATACCCTAACAAATACTGAACCAATGTGTAATAATAAGGCCGTTTTCACAAATTTACTAGACCTTGAGGAAAAGAACATAACAATGTAATTGGGGAGCAAAAGCTCCAAGCTGCCCCTGGGGAATAAAAGGACACCTAGCTTAATTTTAACACTGTGATAACTATTTTGCTTTCGAATTACTATTTCATTTTTCATGGATTTTCACACGTACATAGTTGATTGGCTAAATTTCCATGCAAATGACTAGTTATGAAAACATTAAACTACACTTAATTTGATTTAATGGATATCTGTTGATATTAATTTGTTGATTTCTTTCTTCGTTTGCTAGAAAAAATCATTCCTTTAACTACACATTATTCCAGTTTATCCTACACACTAATTCACATCAAGTCACCTCTCCACCCTTCATCCACGCGTACATCATGTAATAATGCTAAGTTAGCCATTTACCTCTTAAAAGTAAAATTTTTTATGAAAATATTTCTTTAATTTTTTAACAGGAAAATAAATTCATGGTATTTGATACTTCCATCCCTCAAGCAGGAACTATTTACTTTGTTTCTCCATTTCCAAAAACAAGTTTTAGTAAGACCCAGAAACTCTGCTTAAAACCTTGAATGGACCATCACAGTGTCAGATCAAGTCTTAATAACCTCAGGGAGACTGGCTTCTTTTGAGGACTAACCTATGAGACAAAATGAGCCTGAAAATTCCAGGAGTACAGTATAGACTGTATCTTTTAAATAGGTGTGATGTTTAAAGGACACTCCTGACAGAAAACTACCTTAGACTTTGTCAAATCTACTTTGGGACCCACAATAGTGACCTGAAATCCAAAGACGGGGTGTAAATTAAACTCTGTATAAGCAGGGAACAACATTGTATTCAACATCTTTCATAACCTCCTCGACTTTTTTTCCTACCAGAAAACATGATGATCCTCCCCAACGAATGAATCATTTACATTTCATATATTCATAGAAGCACAAAACTAATACTTTCAACTTCTGCAAATGTGAGACAAAAAGAAACTTATTATTCCATACGTTTCAAAAAATGTTTTGAAAGGGAACATTGTGGTCATATGAATAATACCCATGGTGAAAAACAGAATGAAGAATGACTACTTAATGCCAAACTGTGATAAATCACAACGTCATATGCATATTTCATTCCAGCACTAAAGTCAGTAGGTATGAGGTCAGGATAAAACATAACACCAAATTCATCATCCTTCCTTACTTAAGAATTGCATTATATTTTTAAACCATTTTAACCATAAGTGAGTATCTTTAGATGATAAATATTTTGATGACACAGATAAAGAGGGGGAAATTTTAAATATGAGAGTGTAATTAAATATAATTATAAATTTGATAAATACTAAACACTGTGGCTTTTTATATGATACTATGTAATTTCAACACTTTATGAATATAACTGCTTCATAAAGTATTAATACATATTACTGTACCTAAGAAAACCATTCACACTAGTAATACTGTCCCATGACATTTAATTCACTTTTGTAAATTTTGACATTAGTATTTCATAATTTTAGTAACTCTTCTATTAAAATGCTGAAATTTAACAGCATAAAAGACAATATAGATACAACTGTTTTTCAGTATCTAAAGATACTGAGTTAGTTTTTCCAAAACTCTTACTCATTGTCTCTTCAGAATCAAATGTCTGAATGATAAAAATTGATTGGGACAGTTATGGTAGAGGATTGTGTGGAAGGGAGCAATAAAGAGAAAAACAGAAGACAAATCAGGGGTACTTATTATTAGTTTGCATACATTTGAAGAGGGTGAAAATAAACTAAGTATTGTGTGATCATAAAGAACAAGCTATTAGGGCATTATGGTGACTCATTCTACAAGAGTTAATCAAAGACCCAAGAAAAAATTGGAAGGGAATATGTGACTGTCAATGCACAAATCTTATTAATGCATAACACAATCATAAGTATTCTATAACAGAAATTAACACCATTTTATTTTACAACACACAAGTGCATGCCGATCATCTTCCTATTTCTATTAAAAGGGTGGAAGCTTTTTTCCAAGTCTGCAATAAATTATACTGTTACTTTAGATATATTTTGTCAATGTATTTAATTTAGATCCGAAAATTTCCATAATACACTGCTGCCTTTCACTCTAAGCCAGGATCATGATTGAGGATAATCTATTGTGTAATAAGTTGCTGAGAGCCTTTTTATTTCTAAATGGTGGTACTCTGCTTTCTTCACTCTACCTGTATGTTTTGTTTCCTCCCGTCCCTAAAAACAACCAGGGATAACAGTCATATAAAACAGTTAATGATCGTTCCAGGTAAGTTCCAAAGCACCAAGTTTCAATACAAATGGTACTTAGGAATTTTCCATTTTTCCTTAAGCCCCCCGTCCATGTTTCTTTCAAATATCATTTAAATTTGACTTTTGTTTAAAGTATTTCCTTTTATATGTCCCCATACTCAATCTTGATATATAGATATCCACATATAGATATCCAGATATCCATATCCATATCCATAACTACATATCATTATTTCCCCTAGACTATTTTGATCGTCAGTATCAACGCAATTTTGTGGGGAAATAAATGTCCCTCTCTGATATACCTTCTAGTTGTCCTCAGTATCTTAGAGCAATAATCCACTCCTCATCCCATTTTTGTTGTAAATAAAGCTGTGTGACACTGAAGTAATTGATTTGGGGTGCCAGTGAAAATTAAATAGGTAAACACATATAGAGTTTAATCTGGCAACAATTAAAATATCAACACATTAAGAACATGCACTCAAAAATGTAGTTACTATAGTTGTCTCCTACAAGAATTCAGACGTAGCCGGGCGCGGTGGCTCAAGCCTGTAATCCCAGCACTTTGGGAGGCCGAGACGGGCGGATCACGAGGTCAGGAGATCGAGACCATCCTGGCGAACACGGTGAAACCCCGTCTCTACTAAAAAATACAAAAAAACTAGCCGGGCGAGGTGGCGGGCGCCTGTAGTCCCAGCTACTTGGGAGGCTGAGGCAGGAGAATGGCATGAACCCGGGAGGCGGAGCTTGCAGTGAGCTGAGATCCGGCCACTGCACTCCAGCCTGGGCGACAGAGCGAGACTCCGTCTCAAAAAAAAAAAAAAAAAAAAAAAAGAATTCAGACGTACCATGGGACAAATCATTTCTCAAAAACTATAATAACCACACCTCAAAGAAGGCTAGATGTGACATGATAAGCCAGAGAAAACTCTTGTTATTGCAGTCCCTTAAGTATGTCCAAACAACCTACATTTGGTTTCTACTGTAGATGTCATAGAAGTTCCCTAACTGTCTGGTTTGATATTTGTAAGTTAGGAGTACTGAATTCAGAACTCTTTCCATGAGAACCGTTACAGAGATTACATAGTGGTAGAGAGTGTAGGATAGCTTCCTGATCTTTCCATAATTCAACGTTCTGCTCTTGAGAGATTTGAAGGCTGGTGCAATTTACATTATTCATTAGCAAATTGGAAGCCATAAGATTGGTTATAGAGTGGCATCTGGTGAGATTTTCTTCCAATAATTGTTTGTAGAGCTCGTCCACCTTTCTTTCCATGTAAGTATTAAGCATAGAATTAGAGAGGGGCTGTTTTTGAAACAACATACTTTTTTCTTGGCTTTCATCCCCGTTCAATAATTTTGAGGTAGGTAATGTCTCTGGAGGCCCAATGACAGGAGAATGACCCAGTGGCATACCAACTGAAAATAAAAGGGGACCATTAAAAACATCATTATGTGTGTGTTCCATAAAGCAGTCTGAATCACATATGTTCTTCATGTCGTCACCTCCAATCTGTAGGTCAGGATAATTGTGGCAAATACTCATACACAACCATGATCTACATAAATCTGGTTGTCTTTGATCATGTTGTTCTCTCTTTGAAATGGGCAATGCAACTGACACATTTCCTGGAAGAGGTATACCTTTGCATTTTGCTACGGTTGTTTCATCCACAGATTTTATTTGATCTGTATCATCATTTTGCTCTGTTACACTTTCTTTCCTAGCTGTTTCTTGATTTTCCATCTCAGCAGAGGAAAGTGAATTTTCTTCTCTATCTAAAATCTTCTTTTTCCAAGTTTCCTTTTCAGTCTTCTTACACATAAATGGTTTGCAAAATTTTGCATATTTCTGTTCTTTGTATAGAAGATCAATTAAGAAAGCTTCTCCAAGCATTTTGTTAGACAAGTTTTACAAAGTAAGTGCCTAGTATATTCCTGTAATATAAAATAACTCATTAAGGCAATGTACATTTAAAATGTCAAATAACGATTTATCTCCTACGTGAAACAAAAGTAATTTAGGGAGGCAGTGTTGCTCAAAGGATAGGAAATAGGACCAGGAATAAGGAAACCTGGGTTCCCGTTCTGCCATGAACTTTTAACATAAGCCAATTTATTTAACATTTTGCGGTCTCAAATTTTTCAGCAATTAAATGATGATACTGCACATCATTTAATGACTCTTCACAGGATTATTGTCAGTATAATATTATACGGTGCACATGAAAGTGTTAGAAGTACAAACATACAAATGTATAATTATTATATTCAACTATGTCTAAGGGTTTATTTAGAAATGATAAATTTTCTATCTTCAAAGAGTCTAGTTAAAATGAAGGTTGCTGTCAAGGAATTGGTTTTAACTATCCTTTTAATTAATGTCATTTGAGTCACAGATTGAAATGAATTACTATACCTTAGAACATATATAAGATGTGGAAATTTATATATAGTTTGGACTCATGCAAATTTGTTGATTGAAAACATAAATATAGCCACTTTACTTTTTGAATAATGTAGATGAATAGTTATCATTCCTGTGGTGAGAGCTATGCGAGATAATGCATTTGTTAATCAGCTAGATTTAACCACTCCAAAATGTTGTACATAATAAAAGCATACAATGTTCTCTGTCAATTTAAAAAATAATGTAAATGTAAATACGTTTGTCAATTTCATTACCAATCTTTTTTCTTTTTCTTTCCCTTTCCCTCCCTCAACTCCTCCTCACTTTCTTCTCCTCTCTTCTTTTGTATTAAAATCTTACTTAGCACTTATTGCAGACTTTTGTGTGGCTCTTTAGTGCAACTGGCAATATTTAGACTTTCAATTTTCTCTATAAACACTATAAAAGCATGAAAGAAAAAAGCAGACTTGATTCAAGATACAATTTTCCTCTTATAAGACAACACTCTTTGTTGTAACTGTTTCCAAGAAATGCACTTATATTCATATTTAAAGCCTACTGTGAAGAAAATAAAAAAAGAACTAAAATATGTAAGATTTTAGACTTACCTTTTTCAAATATCAGGATACCTAAAGATTTGTTTTTCTGAGACTCCAACAGTGCAAACACAGAAGAAATCCTGTTTGGCTCATGTAGTTTTCATATTTCATTTACTCTTCAGAAATAAAGCTTTAACCACACAAATTGTTCTGCTTTCCACTCACACCCTGGGACTGAACCAAACTAATAAGAAAATGATGTGGATTGATCACGTGTACAGTATGGTAATGATCCAAAAGAGGATCTTGAAAGTGTTTATTCAAGTTTTCAGTGACAATGAGAATGGGAAAATGTTAATAGCACTAGCTTTTTTTCATACACGTTAAGGTAGATACAAAGTTATTTTAATTTTTAAAAAATATTTATAGATTCATGGGGTACATGTGCAGGTTTGTTACATGGATATATTGTGCAGTGGTGGAGTTTAGGCTTCTAGCACACGCATCAGCTGAAAAGTGAACATTGTACCCAACAGGTAATTTTTCAACCCTCACACCACTCCCAACCTGGCCCCCTTCTGTAGTCTCCAGTGTCTATTATTTTCCTCTGTATGCTCATTTATACCCATTTAGCTCCCACTTGTAAGTGGGAACGTGTGGTATTCTGTTTTCTCTTTCTGAGTTATTTCACTTAGGATAATGGCCTCAAACTCCATTCATGTTGATGCAAAAGACATGATTTCACTCTTTTTTTATGGCTGGGTAGTATTCTATTGTGTGTATATACCACATTTTCTTTATCCAATCATCTATTGATGGACACTTGGATTGATTCCATGACTTTTCTATTGTGAATAGTGCTGTGATAAACACAAATGTACAGGTGTCCTTTTGATATAACAATTTATTTTCCTTCTGATAGATACACAGCAGTGGGTCGACTGGGTCAAATGGTAATTCCATTTTCAGTTAAAATATGGACACCAGAATATTTTGTAACAATTAATAATTAGAAGTAATCTAAATGACCATAAACTACAAATTGTTAAATTAATTGTAATATACCTATAACATTAAATAATAAACTGAGTGCTTTCAATGACATAATAATAAGCATCTACTGAGTAATTACTATATGACAGTCATTCTAAATGTCCTATATATACTACTTAATTTAGAGCTAAAGCTCTTACCCCCATTTTACAGAGGAAACAAAGACAAAGGAAGGTTATATACTTCCTGACAGTCATGAAGCTAGTAAATGATAGAACTAGGATTTGCACCTGATAATTGGATTCAGAATCAGAATTCATGCTCTTAATGGCTACACTACGTTTCCCCTATGTGTATAGAATACAAGCTGTGAAACAATATATGCATCATGATTCCATGATGAATTGTGTGCACTATATGCCAGACACTATTCTAAATACTTCGCACATGCTAAAGACATCCTCATAACATGTCTGTGAAGCTCTTAGTATCCCCATTTTACCTATGAGAAAACCCAGGCACAGAGACGTTAGATAACATGACCAATATCACACAATATTAAGTAGCAGAGTCTGGGTTTTAACCCAGGCAGCCCACCTTCAAAGAAAGCATGCTTAACTTCTTTGTTAAACTGACTTTTTCTGCCTTTTAGTTACCTTAATAGGTGTAACCATGTTGGCGGAAAAGGATACAAATCAAATTCTTAATAGTAGCTTCCTCTGGAGGGAGAGTGTTAGGAGGTAACTGGAGTAACTTTTTACTGTATATATTTACATACAGTTTGATTTCTTGTACTAATGAGCATGTATTCACGTATTACTTGAATAATTAAAAAAACGAAAAAAACGTTTACACACACAAAAGAAGAAAAATCTTTACTACCTTCTTTATAATGTATTTTCCCAGTCTCACAAATGTCTTATCCGATTTTTAGAATGATTTTACACCCAGATACAAACTGCCAAAGTAGAGTAGGAAGCATAAGCAAAATATCTATATAGTTCACATTTTTGTCTACAATTATCAATATGGCTTTTTTTATAGTTTTACCATTACAAATTATTATCACAAACATACTATAGAGTAGGTTATAATTTTGTATGCAATAACAACCTAATTATTTTAGGTTGTCAAAGATATCCTCTTGTAAGAAATAGTGCACTAATTTAGCTTAGAGTCAAGGGAATGGCTCACAGTGAAATGAGGAAGTATGTCACAATCCTACACCAGAAACATAATGAAACTTATTAAAAAAAAAAAAAAGCAGAAGAAGAAGAAGAAGAAGAAGAAGAAGAAGAAGAAGAAGAAGAAGAAGAAGAAGAAGAAGAAGAAGAAGAGAAGAAGAGAGAAAGAGCAAACCGACCCAAGGCTAGTAGAAGACAAAATAAATAACTAAAATCAGAGCTAAATTGAAGAAAAATGAGAAGAAAAACCATACAAAAGGTCAATGAATCCAGGAGCTTGTTCTTTGAAAGAAATTAGACTGCTAGCTAGACTAATTAAAAAAAAAAGAGAGAGAGAGAGAAACACAATCAGAATGACAAAGGGGACATTACCAATGATACTCCAGAAATAGAAAAACAAACAAACAAACAAAAAAAAACACCCTCGGAGACCACTATGAATCCCTCTATGCACACAAGCCAGAAAACTTAGAAGAAATAAATTCCTGGCAACATACAACCTCCCGAGATTTAACCAGGAAGAGATTGAATCCCTGAATAGACCAATAACAAGTTCTGAAATTGAATCAGTAATAAAAACCCTACCAACCAAAAAAAGCCCAGGACCAGATGAAAACAGCTGAATTCTACCAGATGCATAAAAAAGAGCTGATATCATTCCTACTGAAAATATTTCAAAAACAATGAGGAGGATGGACTCCTCCCTAACTCATGATGCCAGCGTGATGTTGATATAAAACCTTGCAGAGACACAACAAAAAAAGAAAATTTCAAGGCAATATCCTTGATGAACATAGATGCAAAAATCATCAACAAAATACTGTTAATATTATAGCAAACGAAATCCAGCAGCATATCAAAAAGCGAATCCACCACGATCCCTAAAATGCAGGGTTGATTCAACATACACAAATTAATAAATGTGATTCACCATATAAACAGAACCAAAAGTAAAAACCACATGATCATCTCAATCGATGCAGAAAAGGTCTTCCATAAAATTCAATATTTATTCATGTTAAAAACCCTCAACAAACTAGGCATTGAAAGAACATACCTCAAAATAATAAGCACCATCTATGAAACACCCATAGCCAGCATTGTACTGAATGGGTAAAACCTGGAAGCATTCCCATTGAAAACTGGAGCAAGACAAGGATACGCTCTCTCACTGGTCCTAGTCGACATTGTTCTGGAAGTCCTGGCCTGAGTAATTAGGCAAGAGCCAGAAATAAAAGGCATCCAATTGGGAAGAGTGGAAGGCAAATTTTCCCTGTTTGTAGACAATATGATTCTATAGCTAGAAAACCCTGTAGTTTCTGCCCAAAAGTTCCTTGATCTATCTGATAAAAAACTTCAGCAAGGTTTCAGGACACAAAATCAATGTACAAAAATCAGTAGCATCCCTATAAACCAACAACATCCAAGCTGAAAGCTAAATTAAGAATGCAATCCCATTCAAAATAGCCACAAAAAGAATAAAATACCTAAGAATATAGCTAACCAAGGAGGTGAAAAACCTCTACAACAAGAATTACAAAATACTGCTTAATGAAATCAGAGATGGCACAAACAAATGGAAAAACATTCCATGCTCTTAGGTAGGGAGAATCAATATTGTTAAAATGGCCAGAGTTCTCAAGGCAATTTACACATTCGATGCTATTCCTATGAAACTACCAAGTCAATGCTATTCCTATCAAACTGCCAATTTCATTACAGAATTAGAAAACTCTACTTTAAAATTCATTTGGAACTAAAGAAGAGCCCAAATAGCCAAGGCAACCCTAAGCTAAAAGAACAAAGCTGGAGGCATCACATTATCTAACTTCAAACAATACTAAAAGTCTACAGTAACCAAAATAGCATGATATTGGTACAATAAAAAGGACACATAGGCTAATGGAACAGAATAGAGACTCCAGAAATAATGTCACCCACCTACAACCATCTGATCTTCAACAAAATTGACAAAAACAAGCAATTGGGAAAGGACTCCCTATTGAATAAATGGTGCTGGAATAACTGGTTACCCATCTGCAGAAGACTGAAACTGGAGCCCTTCCTTACACCATATACAAAAATTAATTCAAGATGGATTAAACACTTAAATGTAAAACCTAAAACTATACAAATTCTGGGGGATAACCTAGGAAATTCCATTCTGGACAAAGGACCTGGCAAAGATTTTATGACCAAGATGCCAAAAGCAATTTCAACAGAAACACAAATTGACAAATGGAACTTAAATAAACTAAAGAGCTTCTGCACAGCAAAAGAAACTATAAACAGAGTAAACAGACAACCTATTAAATTGGAGAAAATATTAGCAAATTATGCATCCAACAAAGGTCTAATATCCAGAATCTGTAAGGAACTTAAAGTAACATGCATAAAACAAACAACCTTATTAAAAAGCAGGCAAATGACACAGACACTTTTCAAAAGAAGGCATACATACACCCAGCCAACAAGCATATGACAAAATGTTCAATAGCACTAATTATTAGAGAAGTACAAATCAAATTCAAAATGAGATTCCATCTCACACCAGTCAGAATTGCTATTGTTATTATTATTATTATTATTATTATTTATTTTTATTTTAAGTTCTTGGATACATATGCGGAACGCACAGGTTTGTTACATAGGTAAATGTGTGTCACGGTGTATTGCTGCACCTATCAATCCATCACCTAGGTATTAAGCTCAACATGCATTAGCTGTTTGTCCTGATGCTCACCTCCCCCTGCCCACTGACAGGCCCCAGTTTGTGTTGTTCCCCTCCCTGTGTCCATGTGTTCTCATTATTCAGCTCCCACTTATGAGTGAGAGCATGTGATGTTTGGTTTTATTTTCCTGTGTTACTTTGTTGATCATGATGGCTTCCAGGTCCAAAAGACATAATCTCATTCCTTTTTATGGCTGCATAGTATTCTGTGGTGTATATGCACCACATTTTCTTTGTCCAGTCTGTCATTAATGGGCATTTGAATGATTCCATATCTTTACTATTGTGAATAGTGTTGCAATAAACACACGTGTGCATATATCTTTATAATAGAATGATTTATATTCCTTTGGGTATATACCCAGTAATGGGATGGCTGGGTCAAATGGTATTTGATTCTAGATCCTTGAGGAATCACCACACTGTCTTCCACAATGGTTGAACTAATTTACCTTCTCACCAACAGTGTAAAAGTGCAGAATGGCTATTATTAAAAAGTCAAAAAATGACAGATGCTGGTGAGGTGTTGGGAAAATGGAACACTTTTTGCTTCTAACATAGACTCCTTTATATGTTATATCTACCTCTTTTGCCATCCTCACCCCTACCTCCAGCTCAATCAAGTTGTAGCAATACCCTGTTCTCAGAATCTCTGCCTTTTCACTTATCTCATGACTTTTCATTCTTGAATTGTTGTAGTTGCTTCCAACCTTGCCTCTTTCCAATCCAATTGCCATCCTAGATTGGTCTACCTTTCACAC